CCTGAGGGTCCCCACTGAGATCTGTGGAAATGGCAGAACAGCCTCCCTGACTTCCTCCCTTCCCTCCGCTCGCTGAGCCGCCATCCCTATGAGGAGAAATGCTTCTCCCCAGAGCCCAGCATTCGGGGCTCACCTCTCCCCTTCTGTCCCTGTGTGCAGGAACGCCTCCACCTTCAGCACACAGCGCTGGTGGTGAAATGACTCTGCCACCAGCACCAAATTCCGAGCAGCCTCCAGCAGCCCAAAGACCCTGCAATGGAGCAGAGGGCAGTTGGCTGTGGGAGGAGGGAGCTCCTGGCATCTCTGCCCCAATTCCCACCAGGCACTGCCCTGTTCCCTGTGCAGAACAGGCCACGCCCATGGCAGCAGCTTCCCATGTAGTGCCTGTTCTGCTTCCATCACCAGCCCCAGCTCTGTTCTCCCTGCCAGGCTGCATGATGGCTCCTCACCGGACTGATCCATCGCTGCAGGCAGCAGCCAGGAACTTCCAAGATGTCAGCAGCTGCTTGGTGCTGGTGCCAGGTACAACAGAGAGGCACATGTACCTGCAGCAAAGATACAATGCTCACCAATGCCTTGGTGACACCTGTGGCCCTGGGGAGATGAATGGCCCAGGAGAGCAGCCCAAGCCCAGTGCTGGACGCAGCTCTGAGCACTCAGAAAAGGCACAAGGAAAGACTAGGCCTTTCCCTAGCCCCAAAAGCCCCTCGAGGCCCAGCCACAGGGCACCAGGAATGCATACATGAAGCCACACCGGCCCAGTCTGCCTCAGCTGAGCCTGCAGCTGCACAGAGCAGTACCCCAGTGGAGGCCGGTGTGGTTCTCATCACCCTCCCAGATCATGATCACTACTAACCCTGCCTCAAGCAGTCCCTGAGCATCACCTCGTCTCCGGGTCCATCTTGACGAGCTTGTGCCTGTTCTTCTTCCGCTCCCAGTGCTCGTCCAGCCGATGGGAGGCCACATGGATGACCTGGCAGGCCACAGCGCTCTCCAGGCTCTCCACAGCACTCTCTGGGTCCCCAGTACACAGCAGCCGGTAGCACTCGATCTGTGCCCGGCCACCCGCAGAGAAGAGCAGGGCAGACAAGCCCTCCTCACCAAAGCCCTTGTCTCCAGGTCCCGTGGGGCCGGCCAGTGCCAGCGTCCTCACACTGGAAATGTGGTCACTGAGGCGAGCAAGGGGCATGACTGCCCGAGAGTGCTCACTGAGTGCCAGGACACAGGCCGTGGTGTCCTCACTGCCGGTGACCAGCACGTTAAGGGCGGCATGGCCAGGCACCTTCATGGCCCCCAGACGCCGTACACAGGTGATCTCCCGCCCGTGCAGGGATGCCAGCAGCACCTGCTGCTCGCAGGGCTCGGCCTTACAGCAGTACAGCATCACATCCCCAGACTTGATGAAGGCAAAGACCTCAGCCCAGGGGCTGCTGCAGTAGCTCCAGGAGCGGTGCCCACCCCCGCAGGGGATGCAGTGGAGGTTCTCGCTAGTCCTGCTGCTCCACACCACAAAGTTGTCAGCGTGAAAGCCCAGCACGAGCAGGTCCCCGTCTGGTGTGAAGCGCAGCTCCTCGATCCACTGCAGCCCTTTGCAGGGCCTGTGCTTCCGCAGAACCTCCAGCTGCTGGTCCCGCAGGTGGAGCTGGCGGTAGACACCATCACGGCCAGTGCTGTAAATGTAGCCCTTGTGGCAGGTCACCGAGGTAACCCCTGTCTTCCCGTGGAGCCCAAAGAGCACGGACAATGGGGACTCAAGGGGAAGGACCCCTTTGTGTGACAAGCAAGACAGCTCCAACTCACTGCTAGAGTCCTCACTGACCGAGTCGGCGACACCATTGGCAATGCTGGTGCTTTCTGCAGCCCGCCTCGAGGAGCTGCTGCAAGGGAAGAGGAGGAGGGAGCCCCGGCGGTCGCCACAGACCAGGAGCTCTCCCTGGGGCAGGAAGGCAGCGCAAGTGTGCCAGCGCTGCTTGCAGGGGGGCAGCAGGTACCGTCCCATGAGCCGCACGCAGGGTGCCTGCCCGGGGCGGTGCGTGACGTCCAGCCAGAGCATCTCCCCTTCGGGACCGGAGGCCAGGAGGGCGGCAGCGGTGGCGGAGGGCAGCCCGGGGCGGGGGGCCCAGCTCAGGCTGCGCACGGCCCCCTCGAACAGCCTGAGCGAGGCGGCGGTCCCGGGGATGCTCAGGACGAAGAGGAGGAGGCGCCCGTCGCCGCCGGCCAGGGCGCAGAGCGCCTCATCCCCGCCGGGCAGCGGGGCGGCCGCCA